GACAGCTCTAATTAGGCCCAAAACAGTGGCCATAGTGCTAAACGGTAAACCGGGGTTTGTGTTCCCATGCTGTCAGAGCCCATAGCCGGTCAGCCTTATGGTCATGCCTTGACAAGACAAGCCTCCGGCAAACCGTTCAGGAATGGCAGATGGCAAACACTGTGTTCCTAGGCGCACTAATGCACATGCAATGCAAAGAAACACATAAGCAAAATCAAAAGAGGATATCACGAGTTCGAGTCAAGCTCTCTAAACTCCCCAGCAGAGTCGCCAGAAACTGTAGACGCGCCCGCGTGGGGCCTCATGCTACAGTTCGGACTCGATTTGTGTCACGGTTCTTAATCTGAACCAAAGAGTCCAAATCTGGCAAATCGTTTTGAGAAACAGATTTTTGAAAAAGTAGTGCCAAACATGGACTGCTTTGCCAGATACAGAGTAGCCACCTAAATATTTTTTATGGGAGAATTTAGGAAACCCTGACTCAGTGCCGAAGGCCACATGTCCGTCATCACCGGAGTTGTCTCGGCTCGGGAGCTTGGGTACGATCGGGGAAGGTCAGCTATGAGCACCCCCTTTCGCCCGGTCCGAAGACCGGCCTCTACTAACCGTGATATCCATTTTTGAAAACGTTATGTGTTCTTATACCAATTGTTAGCCTAGAATTACTATGTTATGCACGCAGCAAACAAGTATAGACTAGATTGCCTAATTTGGAAATAAGCATTGCATATCCGTTTGTTTCGAAAAACACTTTGTAATTTGCTACTCGCAAGTAGTCTTAAAACACGGATTTCAATGAGTTTTCCCAACTCAAACAATCCAACCTTTACCCACGGGCATGCAAGCAGTTTATCATATAAGCATTTAGCCGCATGGCAAGCATACTGTCATGGCAACACTCACACGCATGTGGGATGCTATGCTAAAGCATAAATACTTACATCGTACTCCGTGCCAAAACAATAAACTAGTTAGCAAACATGCATGTCCTAGTTCATGTTAGATTGCCTGATGCAACACATACATGATGCAATTAGATAGGCTCGGCCAACCTAAGCATGGCATATGAAATGCGATCAACTATCACATATTCAATTTTGAATTGAAATACAAATGCAGTTAGCGTGATGTACCGAGCCTAATGCATGCAATACAAATGCATGGATGCACGCATGCATAGCATAAGGTATGCTAAATTAAACGTGCCCTAATCTACCATCAAAAATAGGTAAATAAAAGGGAAGAAAGAAGTGGGGATTGGAAGACATACACACACTCACCCACACTTATTACAGATTTGCCCTCACTAGGAGGGACCAAATAAATAATACAAATAATTAACTACGCAAGCTAATTAAATATTACAAGTTTCCTAATCAACTAAGCAAGATAACTTAAGCTAAGAAAACAGGAAAATCGCCTCGGGAAACGCGCCGCCATGCATAGGCTGCCTCTGTTTTCCTTCCTTCACTTCTCTGGAGGCTGCCAAAACCTCAGGGCTGCATCCCTGGACACTGGGGAGTGCCACCGGCTGAGTGGAATTACCACCGGCAGTGGTATGTGGCCATCGGCACAAAATGAAGCTGTCGGTAGAGAAATTATTGCCGGCCGGCACTTTACACTGCTGGTCAGCAGAGTGTTCCTGTAGAATCTGTAAATGACAGCAACAGAGGGCAAGGCAAAGCATGGCAACACAATTCAAGGCATGTATGCAACAATCATGTCCCTTATCATGGTAGTGACTCAAAGGGGCATGTGCCTCGATTCTCGGACCACCAATCACGCATTTCCATGCATGATGGCCCAAGGAATCAAGTGTGCAATTTTCATGTCAAATGAAATGCAAACCAATCAAACAAATTAAGGCCCAATTCCCATCACCAATTCAAGGAACAAGGCATGCATGCAAGATGCAATGCAACCTAGGCATGCAAGCTAAGGATGCATCATGGCATGGCAATACTCTTATGCAAGCATACAAGCATACATGTGGCAATGCAAATAGATGGAAAGATGGACTTAAACATGAATTAGGCAACTCTAAATAGGCCTAAAACAGTAGCCATAATGACCAAAACAAGGGACTAAAACACATGCACACATACATATGTTGAAAGGCCAACACTTAGGCGCAAATTGAACAACTCTCAAACACACTTGAAAGGGGCAATCATGGACAAAATAGCATGCATTATAAGCTCTGAAATTCATGTTAATACAAGGCGCCAAACCAAGCAACAAGTCAAACTAAACATACAACAAATGGCCTAAGTGCTTGGAGCAAGTCGAAGGGGCTTGAAGCACATTTAGCATAACAACCATGGCATGCATTAAACAACTAAAAACAGATTTTTAGCATGTTAAAACAAGGCTAAAGGACTACTTAGATGGCATCTAAGCGGCTCAATCTCAAAGGCATGCACAATGGCCAAAATATGGAACATGCAACACATGCTTCCAAAGCATTAAAGAGGCATGCAAGGCAATCAAACAAGCATGGAAATGGGACTGAAATAACATGTAGGGTGGCCCCAAATCACCAAATCGATGCAAGGATGTCATGCTATACATGCACACACTCAAGGCTAACAAGCCGGAATGCAAAGGAGCTATACTAAGCATGCCAAAATCAACCCAAACACTTATGGACAGACCTAAAACATGTCGAGATAGGCACAAAACCTTCACAAATCTAAGCCTAAAACATGCTCTAACAAGGGCTAACAACCTAAAGCACATTGAGGCAATATCATGGCATTACATGGTAGGTATGCTAAGCATGCATGGGGTACCAAAACCAATTCAAAATCATGTTATATTATGGATATATAAGCATGAAAAACAAACCAAATAAGGAGGTTACTTTGCCTATTCATCTCCTGAAGCATATGCTCAGGATGAAGAGGATCTCAGGATATGGAGAGAGATGAGTGCACTTGTTGAACGCATGTGTTGGAAAATAGCTTCCAAAAAGAACCAAACTGTCATTTGGGTCAAACCATTAACAAATGACTGTTACATGGAAAGAGAACCTGGCACTCAACCTCCTCTTTGCCGGTCTGATGAGGACCCAGATGCAACTTGGGGTGTGCTAATGGAACCATGCATCACACGTTACTCTGACCGTAAGTGTCTTTTCTCTTTTAGTTCATGGATTTTCTTTTTTGGTTGCTCATGTCATAATTTCTGTGTGTCCATACACAGTGGATATTATTCAGAGTTCTGTTTTGGTTGATAAGAATCTATTCTAAAAAAAAGATGACCAAGTGTTAGTTAGCTTGATTAAGGTACTTAAAAAACTGGAATAGGTTACTTAGATATCACTTTCTCTGAAGAAATCTAGGTTTTAGCCAATATTGTACTTAGCTAATGTTAACTTTTCTAAAAACAACACCAAAAGGATAAATAGAATGGATGTTTATGGTGACTCAACATTTTTGTTTTATTTGGTGATCAATGAACTGTTTTGCATACTTAATACTAGATGTTGCTGGCACATGCTCACCTTAATTCACATCATCCCCCCACCCAAAGCTATCCATCCATTCCATGACAGATTTCTGGGTAGCGATTTTCTTCCCTTTGCCATCCACGTGCAGCAAAAAACCAGCCGGTGGCCTCTAGCCACTGCTGGTGGTGGGTGGGGATGGTCCACAAGCCCTACCCTGCCCTTCCAAGGCAAAACACAAGTGTTTGGTGCAAAACCAGACACTAAGCAGTTGAGTTCGGAGATCCTGAGACAAGGCGCGTAGCCGAGACCTCCGGGAACTCCGAACGAACACAAACATGGATGATCACCGAGTGTTCAAACGGTGACGTCCAAGTCTTGAGGACGGTCAAAAATGGGGTGTCTACAATAATAAACTTATTAAGCTCACCGAGGTGTGTTCCCGAAGGCCACATTCAAGGAAAAGAAGTTGGCAAAATCTAGGTTTCCCTTTGCTGATGAACATGAAGAACATGAGCACGAAGAACATGAAAAATATGACTGTTCAATCACAACCTGTTATCACAAATGCTAGAGCAATTGATTTTAAATCCTTATAATATTAGGTAATTATCTAAAACTATTTATTTCATGTGCTCAAATGATAATAAACTTATTAAGCTCATACTTGTGACTTGTTCAATTGTATTAGTCATTGATCTAACATTGATGATTGTGTACTTGCTTGATCCGATTAATTCTAAAATAAACACAAGCCTTGAAATTGTAATAAACACGTAAGTTTGGCTAGTTCGTACATTTTTAAGCAATTTGAGTTTGTTTAAAAATATTTTGACTTTTGAAATTTCTTTCATAAAGTGCTTTGAAAATTTATGAAACTACCCAAAGGAGGAAGAGGACCAATCCAGTTTGGAAAGTAGTTCAGGTAATCAATATTATTTTCTCTAATTTTATCATACTTATATTTATGCTAATGGTTGTTCAGCTTGATCATAACACTTTATATGTAGTTTCTAATAATAATGAAAATGCTTTCATGTAGTCCCCGCAACAACCTACAAATGTGGAATGTGGGTTTTATGTAATGAGGTATATGAAAGACCTCATTAGAGATCAAAGCATCCTAAGAAAACAAAATGTGAGATAAATTATAAACTTTTATTACTATTATATTCATGATACTTGTACATCTTCTTCATGATCTAATTGTTTCTAAATAACCTCTTGTAGTTCAACGGAAAAAAGACTTACACAGAAACCGAACTTGATGGAGTGCGAGTTGAATGGATTAATTTCGTACTAAAGAATATGAGTTGAAATCCAACATGTAAGTATGATATAGCTTCCGTTCTTTAAATTGCTAATAAACATTTTTTTTAGTTGGTAAGGAATATATAATCACTTCAAGAACATAACAAATTTCATAAAATGTGTAAATTTTACTTCATACAAAAGCATTTGTACAATGGAAGATAGTAAACTCAAGTACATCTTAGGAAAACTCACAACCTTCGCAAAATATCACTCTTACACTCAAGAATTTGAGATTGCTTCACACTAGATCAATCTTGTATATCACTCTTGTATTGCATGATACCCAATACAACGAATATAAGGATGAACCCAATTTGAAATATGATAAATAAATATTTTGTAATTTTTTTATTTTGCCTTTGGCATCATTTGATTTTCACTAATAGCAATTAGAAATAGACAAAGTTGGGTAGGTAATAGGTTACAAGCCAAATGTTGACTACCCTAGATACATTGTTCTCAGTAAGAGTACAAAGTCAATTCAGAGTTATCTTTAAATATAGCTTCTAATTTGTGATTCTAAAATTGAAATAATCTGGGATGGTAGCTTGAGACTCTCCATGAAAAGTTATTTATTGAGTGATGGTAAGCGTATATTTATTCTTGCATAAGTGAACTATGTACATATTATGGAACAGTTAAAATCAACTCGATTTATTGGGTGCTATGATCATAAATCTCCAATTTCTTTGGTTTGGAAGGCTAAGTTAAAAAACAACCTTCTGAACATCACTATTTTCAGAAATTATATGTTCACATGTTGGAAAAATGGTTAATATAGGCATATTTTGGGCCGACTTTGAGCCCAAAATTGAGTGGGCCCTGGTGGTTTTCTATGTTTTTTGAAGATAGCATGTCCTCAAACATTTAATAGAAATTATATCTTCAGTGTTTATTGTTATCTTGCTTGAAAAGTGTGATTAGCGTTATGACGGTTATCCATTTTATTTTTTATTTTTTGATTAGAAAAAGAAAATTTTATTGATGAAAAGACCATGAAAAGCACAACACATGATACAACAAAAAAAAAAAGTACATATTGCATCATAGCAAAACCCTTTCATCTTAACTAGGTTAGCATGAAAGGCAAGCCCAATCAGACGCACTTTGCTATGATGCAATATGCACTTCTCTCTTTTCTATGACTGTTATACATGATAGTGTATTCACGACTTTGCTTTGTGTATGGACAAATTACCATGAGTTAATTCTGGTTAAGTTGAAAACAAATTTGGGTCATGGTAGTTATATAACTATTCCAGACTTTCCCTCCTTTAAACTTGTTCTCTTTTGTGCTCTTTTCTTCTATTCTCTTTCATCATTTCATCTCTTTCTTCTCTTTCTATCCACTCTCTACTTATATTTTTTCTTATCTGAAAACAGATACACCAGCACGTAATTGTTAAAATCTTGGTGGAATTGCTCAACACTCAAATACTGGAACTGTGGGGGATTGTTCATTTGTTTAGTCTTTTGGAGTTGACCCATCTTGATTTGGTATATTAATTGCTTTTCTTTCTCTACCTTGATTTGAGCTTTAATTTTTGTTGGGATTTAGTTTAGTTTACTCTCTCTGTTGATGTGTTGCTATAATAATTTTTTGACAAAATCTTTTCAAGGCTATGATTTACTAATATGTGTTTATATATACTGTTCAATCATGCTCCATATGTATATGTCATATTTATATATGGTAATACAAACATTTTATACTAGTAATAATCAAATTCGTTATTTTTTTCTATTGATGCAGGGGATGAAGAGTCAGTGTGATGAGAAAATGTTCGATTTTGTCTTTTGTAAGACAAGAACAGTCTCTACAAAAATAGTATGTTTTTTCATATGCTTCTAGCGGTTTCTAAATTAATTTGTTTTTTTGTTTTTCAAGTCAGAAATTTCTTGGAGAGATGCAAAATATGGTCAAAGAATTCAAGAACTTAGTTTTTCCAAGTTTTTATTTTTTACTTTTTAATATATGTAATCACAGTTAAAAAACTTTTTATTAATTTCTTTGTGCATACTTTTGAACATTTAACTTTCATTTATGAAATATATGATGCTATTCCATTCAATATATGGTTGTGATTCAAAATATAGTATATAGTGTGTATTATATTCTTCAAATGCGCGTATAAAAATAATATTGATTATTCTTCAAATATGTCGAATTCTATTTTTTTAATCACATGTTTTATTAGTTATTAATCACACTTAAAAGATGTGATCTAAATGTTATTAATCACACTATCTAAATGTTTTTAATCACACTTAAAAGATGTGATCAAAATGTTTTTATTCACACTTAAAAGGTGTGATCTAAATATTTTTAATCACAGTTAAAAGATGATCTAAATATTTTTAATCACACTTAAAAGGTGTGATCTAAATATTTTTAATCGCAGTTAAAAGGTGTGATCTAAATGTTTTTAATCACAGTTAAAAGGTGTGATCTAAATGTTTTTAATCACACTTAAAAGGTGTGATGAATGCATTTTTTTAATAACACTTAAAAAGTGTGATAAAAAATGATTCCTTTTAATCACACTTCCAAAGACCACACTTTAATAAAACTTAAAAGGTGTGATTAAAAAACATACATCACACAAAAAAAGTGTGATCTTTATCTGTATTTGTAGTAGTGTTTGAACCCTCATGTAACGACTCGGGTCGAAACTCGACCCTTATTCCCTTTCGTATAATAGAAGTTGTATTAAAAAGGTTTGTTATTGAAAATTTTACTTAACCTGAAATTTTTCTAAGTGTAAAAATTGAGTTTTTCAAAACTTATGATTTTGAAAATAGTTTTTTGTGGTAATTGTTCATTATATTTTAAATATTCTAAATTGATTTTATAAAATTTTTCTACGAAGTATTAACCTTTTTACTTCAACGTCAAATTTAGAAATTTCAGTCGAAAAATTATTTTTGTACTAAAACAAGGAGAACCACTTTTTGATTTAATTGGATTTTGATTTTTTTTTTTTTTGATTTTTTTTTATTTTTCTTTGAATCCAAATGGGGGATATTTCCTTATTTACATTGTAACCTTAAGTAAATGAAATATAAATGTAAGAGGTTAAATGGTTACAAATGGAAATAAGATTGATCTACTGAGAGTGTCTTAAAGTCTGTGCCTGTGTGACTAACTGACTCTGTGCAGAGTGGCCACTCGAGCTGTGAAGATGGTGCATCCAGTATCTTGTTTTGTAGGCTGAAATACAGTGAGGTTGAGTTCAATGCTCGAGCGGGTGGAAAGAATGCTCGAGTGGTCTGCGCGAATCAGCAAACTTAAAAGTTGACTTATACCCATTTTCTTTTACTTTTTCATATCCTCGCTCTCTGTAACACCCATTTCTGAAACCCTAACCCCCCAAAACACTTTATTTCTCTCATTTCTACTACCTTAGATCCTTCAAGAGAGTTGAAGAACAAGCTTTGATCAAGATTTCTACTGATTGATTCGTGATTTTATTGAAGAGTCAAGTTGGG